GAGTCAGGTTAAGTGATAGTTAAATATTTGAAATATTTAACTAGGAATCATAAAATCAACATTGGCAGACTATAAAAGAATAGGTTGGGAGGTGATGTGATTGCTGATTTTCAGTATAAATTGAAAACTAAAGATGTTGAAATGTGGAAATTCCCCTTTATTTGTATTTTAATCAACATTTTCCTGTGCACCACAGTTTTAAAAGTTTAATATTAGGTTTGTGTTTTCCATGAACTGCATACAAGAATATTTTAATAAACTTTATAGATGTTGATTGTGTTCCAAAGGGACTAATTAATGTTGGCCAAGACAAGCTATTTCACCTTGTCCAGAACGAAATGACACTGTTTCATTCAAATGCAAATTAGGTAACATTTGCCCCCAAAATAACATTTTGTTATTTATTGCATCTCAAACACTTATTGCGTATATAAGTGTTTGAGATGCAATGATTGTGGCAACTTGTGCAGCTATAGTGTACCTACCTCTGAGCCACGTTGCTCAGGTTCAAGTCACCACTGCTCCAGAGGAATGTAATAACATCTCTGAACCGGGTTGATTAGAAAATATCTAGCAAGCAGGAGAGGAACGAGAGACTGGACCACAGAAATATTGCATCACTCGGAGTTTTCTTTATGCCATATTTGTGCTACTTGCATTGTAATTGATGGAGATCACTTTGCTATAATTAGTCACCAAGTCCAATTTGTCATGTGATTTCCAAGATAGCAAAAGGTGAACCAGTTAAACACAAAAATTGAATGTACTGGAGAAACTCAACAGATCTGGTAGTATCTGTGGAGAGAGAAGCAGAGTTAACACTTTAATATGACTATTCTGCAGAACTGGGTTAAATGAAGTTAAGCATAAGACTTACGCCAAAGTTCTCCCTCTTGCAAATATTATCCCCCCTACACCCAGGTTTCGGCCTCCAATCCCCAGAATTGAGTTTAACTCTAAAACAAAAAAATTACAGATGCTGGAAATCATTAACAAAATTGGAAATTGCTGGAAAAACTCAGCAGGTCAGGCAGCATTTGTGAAGAGAAAGCAGAGTAGAGAAGGGATGGAGGGAGGGGTAAAGTTAAAAGATGTGTGCAAAAACAGAAGTTGCTGGAAAAACTCAGTAGGTCTGGCAGCATCTGTGAAGAAAAAAATCAGAGTTAACGTTTCGGGTCCTGTGACCCTCAGAACTGAGGAAGTTCTGGGGACGGGTCACTGGACCCGAGACATTAACTCTGATTTTTTTTCTTCACAGTTGCTGCCAGACTTGCTAAGCTTTTCCAGCAACTTCTGTTTTTCTTCCTGATTTGCAGCATCCGCAGTTCTTTCGGTTTTTATTTTGTAAAAG